TGTTGTTTTGTTATTTTTTTTTTAAGTTTTTGCCATAGGATATGTGTTCTTGCTGGAGAGAGACAGTGAGAGGGAAAGTGAAAAATCACCCCCTCAAGGGGCGTGGCCATGCTGTAATCCCTTCTCCTCTATTCTTCTCCTGGTATTTTGGGTACACTTGCACATGTGCCCTACATGGTTTTTCAAGCCACCAGGTGTGAGACCTGAACCATGATTGGCCATGTGAGAGTCCAGCGCCTTAATCACTATGCCACTATCTGGCTCCTTAGAATAGTTCTAAATACACAGAAAATTTGTGAAGAAAGTACAGAGTTCTCATATACCCCGCACCCAGTTTCCTGTTATTAGCATTATTTTAGTAACTTTGGCCCAATTAAAGAGCTAATATTGACACATTGCTATTAACTATAGTCCATACTTTGAATTATCTTAATTTTTACCTAACTTCCCTTTTCTGTGCCAGGATCCCATGCAGGCGATCACATTATATTTCTTTCTTGTGTCCTCAGGCTCCTCTTGGCTGGGACAGTTTCTCAGGCTTTCCTTATTTTTACAAAGTTTTGAGGAAGGCTAGTTATATATTTTCTAGAATGTCCCTCAACTGGAATTTATCAGATGTTTTTCTCGTGCTTAGACAGGAGGTATGGGTTTTAGAGAAAGACCACAGAAGTAATGTACCATTTTTGTTTGTTTGTTTTGAAAAGTTGTTTGCTATAGGGCGTGTGAGCTTGCCAGACAGACAGAGAGAGACAGAGAGATAGAAAGCAAGAAATCACCCCCCAGGAGGGACGGCTACGCTGCAATCCCTTCTCCATTCTCCTCTCAGGATCTTGGGCACACACGCACACGCACCCGGCGTGAGTTTAAGCCACCGGGCCCGGGACTCAAACTGCGGTCGACTACATGGGAGTCCAACGACATAGGCATTACGCTAACTGCTGGTCCCAGAAGTAATGTACCATTCTCATCACATTATATCAAGTGTATCACTGTTGATATTGACCTTGATCGCTTGGCTGACGTAGCACCTATCAGATTTCTCCACGGTAAGGTTCTCCTTATTCCCCCATCTCCAGAAGGTCATCTTAGGAAGAAAGTCCCTAAGTGTGGTCTGCACTTAATGAATTGGGAGTTAAGTTCCACTTTCTCGAGGGTGGAGTAAATACGTAACTTGTCTGAAATTCTTCTGCTGGGAGATTTGTTTGCCCTAGGTATGTATTTATTCAGTCATTTATTTTCACCAGTGTACACTCACAGATCTTTATTCTCTACTTGGGGTTATAATCCAATATTTATTTATTTTGTTGCTCAAAGTACGTTCCTGCTATGACCATTTTGAGTTCTTTTGTTGACCATGTGTCCTTCTGACATATCTCCACCATACTGTGTGTGTGCATGTTCGTGTGTACTGTGTGTTTGCTTTCTGGAACTGCAGGATGCTCCAGGCTCATCTTGTACATCCTCTGCTGCACCTTAAAATCAACCATTCCTCCAAGGAGCTCGGGACCACAAACACTTGTAAGACTGGCATCACCTTAAGCTGCTGTACATTTTCTATTGTTTAGTTCTAAACATCTAGAGATGTTTTAAAAGTTCATCACTGATACCTTTCTTTGAATAACCACCACCTCTGTCATTAGCAACACTTGAGAGGTGAGATGATCTGGTTATCCTCAACGCAGAAAAACTCCTTCCTCTATTCTAGCACTTCATTTGAGATAAGCCCATCTTCAGAAAATCCAAGATTTCTAGCATGCCATCTGTTTGGCAATCTCTTGAGATTATTTTCTCTGCCTGATTTCTCTGAAGTGAGAGGCATTAAATTTGCCTCTATGCTCACTTCATCTGCTTTATTTTATCGTTTTATTATGCCTTTCAACTACCCGTTTTCTTGAGTTTTTCCTTCTCTTTCACAGCCGCTGTATTGCAGTTACTCAATAAATACCAGAAATGCCAACAGCTTCCTTTTCTATTTCCCCGCCTTATAAAAGAGCTTTTTGCACACTCCACTGGACACTAAACTACTTACAAGAAAGAGGCATCTTAACAAGAAATATGCTTTCCTTTGTGATTGCCGCATGTTCTTTTCTTCAGCTGCCTTAAACAGAAAAATGTTTTCAGATTTCTGCATTTGCTTGAGATTTTTAGAAATATTTGTTTGACGTACTACAACTTTTACAAAGCCACTGTACACACTGTGCGGCTTGCCTTCTAAGCTGTGACTAAGGGTTTTCCTGTGACCAGGTTTTTAGGACTCCTAAAAATTGCCCAGCTAACTCTTTAATCCCTATATCCACCATCTTGTCAGTATGCTATCTGAATTCAATCTATTGGAACTTATGTACATTTTTAATGAAAGCATGATTCAAGTGCATCCAAAAAATACAATATAGAAAAATACTCTCACTTTGTTCATTTTTCTCTCTGCTCATTTTCAAATTGCAACATAAATTTGTCCTCTCCCAAACATTTCCAATTTGGTTCAGGTTATCCCTGTCAACTTGTTTTCCTACTTAGTGATTCTATCCATTTGTATAACTTAAGTACAATTAAATGGAAACTTTTTTTCTGATAGTTCTTGAGGTTAGATTATGAGCCTATCCCATGAATCTTACATTTCCATAAATGAGCACTTATTAGCACCTATAGCATATAGGTGGTAAGGTGAAAAAGATTCCTCTTAAGTCGTTAGTCTACTGTGACCATATAGAATAAAATAATTTTAATTCACAAATATTCAATCCTGTCTAAATTAAATGATAATTGAAACCCTAGACCATAAGTTATAGTGATATTTAGTGAAAACCTTAGAGTGAAATATGATGTAAGTAGTTTTGAGAATTTAAAGTAGAGGAAGTTAGTTTAGGAAGATAAGGGAGGGAATATAGAATATGTACATTGCCAATTATCATAACATTTAAGGTAAGTTTATATTTATTTTATCACCATGAAGTTGGATTTCAGTCTACATCTGCTTATTAAAAAAGGTACTAAGGGGTTTTTTTCCTTATTAATAGAATTGGGAATTTTTTTTGGAGGGGGGAGGTTTTTGCTATAGGGTGTATGTGTTTGCCAGAGAGACAGAAAGCGAGAAATCACCCCCCGGGGGGGTGTGGCCACGCCACAATCCCTTCTCCTCCATTCTCCTCTCAGGATCTTAGGCACACACGCACACGCGCCTGGTATAAGTTTAAGTCACCAGGTCTGAGACTTGAACCGTGGTCGATCACATGGGAGTCCAGCAATGTACCCATTATGCCATCTGCTGGTCCCTATAATTGGGATTTAAAAAATCTACCTATGTAGGTAGTACATACTAGACACACTAAAAATACTTTTGTCCTCTGTGATTATTTGGAAATTGCTTATATTGATGTTTTCCCTACTGTTTCCCATGAAATTATAATATCCATGATATATTAATAGGTATTCCCTGAAAAAGTGTTTTTGTGGTGAAATAGACCTGGGACATGTTGCGTTGCATTGGATTTAACTGCCTTCTACAGAAGAAGTTAATTCTGCCTTCTACAGAATTTCAGACTCTTTAATATCTGAACTTACCTTGAAATGTTCTAAAATAGAGATTCCCCAAAGACATTTGGCCATAGAATACTCTGCTTTGGGAACTTCTATTAACATCCCCAGATCAAATTTTGTGAAGTGCTAGGTTAATGTAAAGAGCAGGAAAGAAAGAAATTTTAAGTAATAGAAGGAGGAGGATGCTGTTTTTGTTTTCTGTTTTGTTTTGTAATTTGTCACAGTATGTGTGCATTTTCCAGAGAGAGGCTCAGGATTTTGGGCACACACACACAGGCATCTGGCATGAATTGCAAACCTCCAGGTTTAGGATTCAAACTCTGCATTTGGCCATGTGGAATCTGGCCACCTTAACCACTACACCACTACACCACCTTCTGGCCTTGATGACACTGTTAGCAGCATTTGGAAACAAAACTGATGTATTGGGAAAGGAAGATTACTTCAATTTTACACCTAATGAATTTCTTTCCCAGCCAAGTGGAGATGAACAGTCTATGTGAGATAAAAGCTTTTTAGAGTCAGGCCTACGGTTATTGATTATTATTGATCAGGCCTCCACCACACAGTCCTAACAGTCTGGCCCAATACAATGACTTGCAAGAGAGGTCACAAGCATTTCTTTAATAATATTCATTAAAATGCCAAGTTTTAACTTTTCAAAGAAATGTTTTTCAAAGAAAATAAATTTTCAAAGAAAAACTTTTCAAAGAAAATAAATGAAAGGGTGTTACAGATTTTTCTCTATGTGATGATATGAAGAAGATTTCTTTTTGCAGCAACTGGTGAGTAAGCAATATGTCCACTGAGAGTAGAAGTCGGGATTCTAGGTAGGTCCTCAAATTAATAGCAGTAGATAGAGCATCATTGCATGAGAAAAGAAAAAAGACGTGAGTTGACTCTTAAGATAGAAAAATGGAGATGGATTTGTGTGTTCACTATAGATACCACCAGCAGCAAACACACACACACACACTCAACATCATTATAGGACCAATGTTGCCCAAACTTCATCTACTTGAGTTTTATGTCAACTGAGTACCACTGATACTACTCACTTAAAACTTGTCTCTAGGACTAGCCGTGTGGCACAGTGGTTAAGGCAGCTGGCTGACTTTGCAGTCAAAGTGCTGGATCTGGAAGCTTGAAAAACATGCTAGGCATATGTGCATGTATACCCAAAATACTGTGAGGAAAATGGAGAAGGAATTGTTGCATGGCCACCACCCCTGGGGGCAGGGGAGGTTCTCTCTCTCTCTCTCTTTCTCTCTCTATTGAGCACATGTGCCCTATAGCAAGTTTTAAGAAAAATAAAAATAGAATTCACCTTTAAATGGAATTTAGGTTAGCTCAGTATTTTTAATTAGCTATATCCTAAACTTGGTTGTGCTAGTTTTTTGAATTCTTCTAACAATTATGAAAAAAATACATAGCTCATAAAATACGATAAAAATAAAATTCCTCCAATAGTACGTCCTCAGTAGCACACATATTAAACACTGGAAAATACCAGTGAAAAAAAGGATATGATCAGTGGTCTAGATTATATCATTTTGTGCTTAATGGAATCTATGATACTAACACTTCTATTGCATTCATTAAGATAGAAAATCATTGACTGTTACATTCATTATTCTTTCATTAGTCAAGGAATCTGCTTCATACATTATTTGTAAAAGGGAATGATAGGACCCCCAGTCAATGGGTAGAGTTTTTGCTTCACATATGAATTAGCATAAATCCCACTTTCATCATGCCAAATGTTGATGCCAAATCTTTTGGAACCATCCAGATCTGTGAACTGAGAACGGCATTTTCTGTGGACTATTGAATAATCATCTTGACAGGGATAATCCTATGGGGAAAAAAGAGAAATATCATTTAAATGACTGATATATTTAAGCAGGAGCACTTTCTAAAAGTTGATCTTCAATGTGGAATTTTTATGGTAAAGGTTCATTTTCAACAATTAATTTGGTCTCTCACATAACAAATGCCTCAAGGGGTAGAAGAAGTCTAGTGCATTCATAAGCATTTCAAATCCTGAAAAAGAATCTACTTCATGATGTCTTATTTATGAGATTATTCATAAAAAGATAAATTATGCACACGAATTTTTCTAAGTAATATACAGCATAAAGAACCATTTAAAATTTATAATCATTGAAGTAATATCAAAACAATCAAAACTTAATTATTATTCAACACTTTTTTTTTGTTAATGTAAGTTATAATCATTCCAGAGAATAATATATTGAGTTACTTATTTAATAATTGCTACCAAGGGGACCAGCAAGTTGTGTGGTGGTTAAAAGCTCTGGACTCTCACATGACCAACTGATTCACCCAGACCTGGTGGCTTAAAAATCATGCCAGGCACATGAACATGCATCCAGCATCCTGAGGAGACAATGAAGAAGGGATTGTGTAGTGGCCATCTCTCCAGGGGGTGATTTCTCACTTTTCCTTTCTCTGTCTCTCTCCAGTGAATGCACACACCCTATGGCAAAAGCATAAAAAAATTATTTAAATAATTGCTACCAAGTCATACTTCCCATGACAATGATAAATGCCAAGTTCTAAGATTTATTCTTATGAGAAATTCACCTCAACATAATTCAGTAAAGTGCTTAAGGATGTTTATCCTTAGGCCACTTCATAAAAGCTTAATTGTAATAAAGCAAGACATTATATTGACCATTTCCCAAAGGAAATATTGATTCTTTTAGACTACACCAGAGGTGATGGCAGACATAGAACATAAAGCCTTTTAACTAATTATCTAATTTCTGCTTTAAATTGGTTCTAAGTTTAAAGCACTAGAACAATGTAGAAATTAAATTACCAAAGCTATAAAACAATAAAATGACACCAAAATAGTTTCAATCTTAGATTGGTTGTGTTGAAAATAATTGAAATTTTAACCAGATGTTCAACCATAATAGTGTCCATTTATCTTTTGAGTGCCTGTGAAGGACTGAGCATAGTACTTGAGTTTTTATATCTTTTAATCCATTATTGAGCTTTGAGGTATGAAGTTTTACTGTCACTTTACATATAAGAATAGACAATTTGGGCCAGCTTCTGGTGTGGTGATTAAGGCAGTTGGATCCCACATGACCAACAGAGTGGTTTGAGTCCCTGACTCAGTGGTTTGAAAAACATGCCAGGTGCATGTGTGTGCCCAAAATCCCAAAAGGAAAATGGAAGAGAAGGGTTTACACTGTGATCACACCCTATTGGGGGCTGGTGCTTTCTCCCATTTCTCTTTCTGTTTCTTTGTCTCTCTCTGGCTAGCACATGTGTCCTCTGACAACTATTTGTTTAGAGAGAGGAAAATAAATATAAACTATAAAATTGTAAATTTACACAATGTCTATTACTATTCTGTATAGTCTGGGCTTTTGTGTTTGTCATTGGGGGCTATTTCTTTGGGCTTTTTTTGTTAGGTATTTGGTCAGGCAGAGGTCCTATAAGTGAGATTTAGGCATCACTGGCCTAAACTGTCTCCACAGAGGGAGGCAGGTCTTCTCATTCCAACTCCGCTGTAGTCAAACTGAAGAGTGTTTCAAATGCAAGGTCAGTGCTAGTATCTCACAGGCGGAGAGGAGGATTTATTGTGATGAAGTAGGTAACAAGATGAAATGTGGTGTCCTAGGAAAATGATTCTGGCAGGAGAAGTACTGAAGTCTAGAGGCGGACAGGACTGAATTCTAGAATTGCAGTTAGAACTGGATCTCAATGACTCACATGTTGTCAGGCAATGATGGATGGATAAACAAGTGGTCTAGACATGCAATGAGATATTATTTGGCAATGAAAGGAATAAAATACTAATGTGTGTGAGAACATGGATAACCTTGAAAACATACTTAGCAAAAGAAGCTAAACTGAAAGGGCACATATTGTATGACCTCTTATATGAAATGTCCAGATGGGCAAAGCCACAGACGTAGGAAAGTAGGTGGTTGCTGGGGATGAGGAGGAATGAGGAATGGCTATTACTGGATGTGAGCTTTCTTTCTGGGACAGTGAAATGTTCTGAAACTAATTATAATAATGAGTTTATAACCTCATGGATATACAAAAACCACTCAATCTATACTTTAAGAGAGTGAACTTTATGGTTATATCTCAGTAAAGCTATTATTTTAAAAAATTAATGCATTGGGAATAACTCTTAAGTTAGTAAAATTAGTTAAGAGTTAAGTATTGTGTATTAATGTACATTAAATCGAACACCTCCCATTATGAATAGTGTATTGATAAACCAACTCTTTTTTTTTTTTTTTTAGAGAGAGAGTTTTTTTGCTGGAGAGACGGAGAAAAATAGACAAAAAGCGAGAAATCATCTCCCCAATGGGAGGGGGGATAGGGTGGCCATGCTGCAGGCCCTTTTCCTCCATTCTCCTCTCAGGATTTTGGACATGTACACACACGTGCTTGGTGTGAATTTGAAGTCATCAGGTCCGGGACTTGGACATCTACTGGTCTCAGTAAACCAACTCTTAAAACAATTTTTAAAGGTTTTTGCTGTCGGGCGCGTGTACTCACTGGAGAGGGACAGAGACAGTGAGAGGGAAAGTGAGAAACCACTCCCCAGAGCAATGGCCACTCTGCAATCTCTTCTTCTCCATTCTCCTCCTGGAATTTTGGGCATGCATGCACACGCACCTAGCATGATTTTCAAGCCTCCAGGCCTGGGACTTGAACAGTGATTAGTCATGTGGGAATCGGGCTTCACAATCACTATGCCACCTGCTGCTGACCCCAAAACAATTTTAAACATTTGCTAATTTCTGTGTATAGACATTCCCACAAGGGCTGACTACAAATTACCTGAGAAAGGTCAGTGAGCGAGTTAGGAAAACATGGGCATAACACTCTCATGCAAACTGTTCAGAGTCGGCCCTAGCTTACAGCTGAATCTACTACTTCTCCCATTTCTTAATGTATAGCAGCCCTGACATTTGAGTAGGATTGTCCCATCTCAGGTCTAGGAGCAGAATCTAACTGGTCTAAGACAATCAGGATAATCTCGATCCACTTCACTGATAGTAATGAGTTCACTGTTAGGTATGCGACTCAAATTTTTCCAAACAGATTAAGGCCTAGCACTTTTCTTCAATGGTTTGGGTGAAAGAAACTCTTTTTCAACTATTAAACATAAATGAGGAATCATTGGGACCAGCAGTTAGCATAATGGCTACGTCACTGGACTCCCATTTAGTCAACTGCAATTCGAGTCCTGGACCTGGTAGCTTAAACTCACACCAGGCACGTGTGTGTGCATGCCCAAGATACTGAGAGGAGAATGGAGGAGAAGGGATTTGCGGTATGGCCATCGTCCATGGGGGTGGGGGGTGATGTCTCGCTTTCTGTCTCTCTGTCTCTGTCTGTCTGGCAAGCACACAAGCCCTATAGCAAAAACCTCTCCAAAAAAAATAAATAAATAAATAAATGAGGAATCATCTAGCTTAGGTTGCTGTTGGCAGCCCTCCTACAGTCTAGCATGAAACCAACACCATAAAAGGCACATTTGAGCATAAGAAACAACATGCATTGCTATATCAATCCTTTCCTGGAGCCTGATTTTTTTAAAAATATGCGCCACAAAATTGCTTTTCCCATCTAATCCAGTTTGAGCCAGGTTTTGTGCATGTTACTACAAGTATCCTAACAAATGTACATGTGAGTAATCTGCAGTATTGGAACACTGAGGTACTTAGAAACAAAGTGAGAAAATGGGTCAGGGCAAGGGAGAAGGTCATATATGAAACGGAAGAGGCAAAGGCAAGCAGTAAATTGGTGACTACACATACTATCAGGAATCAAAAGAATGAGAACACAGGTACGCGAACAAAGCAGGTATTCAAAAATTAGAGCGAATTACTATGAGCCTGGAAGATATAGTTACTACAAGAAAGCAGAGCAAGTTCACTTTTCAAAGTTTAATACAAAAAGCACAAAATGGAATAAGGGAGTAGTCATGCCAAGAACAACTTTAATGGACCTTAATATTGACTGGTAAAACTGAGACGGTGGGAGTCCTGGACTAGCAAGTAATTTGGTGTACCATTCAGATCAAGAACAAGGGTAATAATTTGAAAGTCATTATGTCTTCCCCTCTCAGTGTATATAACCTCCCATTTGACTAATAGGTGATTAAAATTTGTTTTAGAAAAATGCCAACCAAAAAGCAAAGCAATCTCAGCTTCTATAATAACAATCAAAATAGTGTTTTCAACAAGACAATAGCTTGATAATCCTACTCACAGTTTTGAGGGCTTTAAAAATATCAATAATCAAACCTGGAAAACCTCATCATAAAGTTCTCCAAATGTGCAGAGAAATTATCTTTTGCCATGAGGTCTTAGAGAAGAATTGGAATAGAGAAAGTGAAGGCAGGGAAGCATGTCTGTCTGGGAAATTGTGGGAAGAAAAAAATAAGGTAAAAGTAAAGCACTAATGTATTTCTGACTTTTTCCATCCCTGGTGTTTAATCAGCAGG